CTTCAACAGATCATACGATCACATCTAGTAGGGGAATCCCCGGAGGGCACAGTGTATATTGGTGAACTTCAGCTTATGATCTGAAAGCAGAACTTTCTCATGTCACGAGAACTCCAGGCTCTACTGTGACAAAACAAAGTGACCACGTTATTGCCAGGCATTCCCATTAAATCCTGGACTTGCCAGAACAGCACAGGAGACAATGTCAGGTGCAGATTACTCAGGACCTTGGACTCGGAGTGTGATATGCCATTGAATTGTTCATATTTTCTTATTGTCTCCTGTATATCCCAGGAACAATTGTGCGGGTTCTTTTCTGATCTATTGACCACTGTAACCGTTGGCAATGCTTTTACTGTTTCAACAAAATACTAAGGCAAAAATGTGTACCATTTTCCATGTTTCTACTTCAGTTGCATCAACTAAGATGATTTTGTACTGCAGGCTACCTCTCTCTGACCTAATCAGCCACCACAGTCAACTCCCCAGTAGGGCTTTTTCAGTGAGGTTCACTGATAAGCAAACCCTCTGCCCTCCAGCACCCAGAAGGAAACTTGAAGAAACAAAGGCAGGTGTGGCCATTTAACACTGGACACACCACACACAGTCATACAGCACAAGAAGCTTAACATCATTTCTGCTTCACATCTGAAGCAAGAAGTTCCAAGTTAAAAACAGTAGGCCCTGCATTTTTATCCCATAAAAATTGTGAGATCTTGTGTGAAACTGAACCTTTCTCTACAAGTAGGCCACAAATGTAATGAAATGGTGTGAAAAAATATAGCTGATCCATCTCCTGTCTCTGTAAGGAATCCTATTAAGTATCTTAAGTTTTACTCCCATTTGAACAAGCAAAAAGTTAATGTATGGCTCCATTACATTCGAAGAGTGGCTGGCAAGGACAAAGGGTGAGCTGAACTTCCCATCCATGTACAAGATTAATATGATTCATTGCCCAGCTCTCTTTGGGATGATGTCAGTAGGACCCATTGGAAATCTGCATATTCTTTTCCATTTAACCCTCACTCAAACTAGAAAAAGTTCTTGCTAAAATATAATGAAAGAAGGGGAGTTAGTATGACCTGGAGAGGACAGGAGCTCCACAAGGACCAAATATATCTGGACACAGGGGTCTTTTATGAAACTGTATCTCTAACCAAGGACCATGTATGGATATAACCTAGAACCCCTGCTCGGATGTAGCTCATGGTAGCTCAGTATCCATGTGGGTACTCTAGTAAGGGAAACAGGGACAATTTCTGACATGAACTCAATGGCTGGCTCTTTCACTCACACACACACACACACACACACACACACACACACACACACACACAC